ATATATTGTTTGATGTTTAAAATTTTCAAAGCTGGATATTTGATTTAAAGTGCAATGATTCTATTGATAATTCTTAATTAAGACAAAGCTGATGCGTAATTCATGTATACTTTTTACAACCATGCCAGACTTATTTCTCGTTAAACATTGTCATCCTTTCTCTAAAAGGAATATTTAACAATGTCTCTTAAAAGCCAAAAGAAATATTTGCTGTGCATAAGCAGACAAACATTTTGCGAAGACAGGAAGTTTCTATTAGTCTCATTGTGTTGGAAATGTTTAGACACGCAAGAATAAATAGATAAAAAATGTATGAGTTGTAACATATATATTATAAACTAATATAGTACTTGTTGTCTGCATATCCCTGTGCTATAGATTCCTAGTTTGATATAAAGATTATGTAGTACTGTAATGGCAACATTTTGTAATATTGGAATAACCCTATTATTATAACAAACAAACTTGCTAACTTTTTTGAGATATATTTTTGAATTTAAATATAAGTTCAATGATTCAATAGACAATTCTTACGAAACCAAATTGCTTTTAAAATTAAGCCAAACAATTGCACCCAAATATTACAGTAGCTTTGTGTTTTAAACTAAGTAAATCAATGATTGACTTACACATGCAAATAAAAATAAATTATCAATAAATTATTTTAAGATATGAATCGAGTGTTTACCTAATGTTACTTTTTGTATATTATCAGCATCTTCAAATAGTCAATTTTCTTAACATCTCATAATATGTTCTTTATAAGCATGCGTTGCTGAAATACAGATATATTGAAGAAACGAGTTTATCCTGACGCTGAAATAGAACTTTACGAAAACACGTAATAGAAAGAGCACCGAAACACGAGGCTATCTGATTTGTACGAGGGGGCGTAGCCCCCGAGTATAAATCAGATTGCCGAGTGTTTTGGTGTTCTTTCTCTTTTGTATCATAGTCAAACATAAAAACACGTTCCCTGTTGTCACAATTTTAAACCCCGGGAAAAAGTAGCCAATGATCGAGCATCTGAATATGATATTTCTGCCGCTTTCCCTTTCTCTGCCGTCACAATATGTAAACCCAAGCAAAAATGAGCCAATCAACGGGCATGATCTGGAGTGCGGGTAACTGATACCTGCACTCCAGTTACCGCACTGTGCATGTATGTGTATACGATTTAACTCTGACACTTTTTCAACAGAAAGGTCCCCAAACTATGATACAAATCTGTTCTTAGTAAAGCCCAATCTATTGTCAGTGAAGAAATGCATGACCGTAGTGTTACAAACAGATTGCAAATTGTGATTTCTTGAAAAATGAAAGAATACTGCCACAATGAAAGCTGACCATTGGAATTATAACGTCGTGTTACAGTTTATGTAAATATTACACAACTTAAATTGTCGGCAATAACTGAAAATCTTTTTAACGTGTTAAAGCATATGTATTAAGAAACTGTGAATAATCCGTGCAAGGACTTGTAATGAGCACAATATATTCCCCACAGAAACACATTTATCACAATTAATAATATGCTGATTATGCATGAAATCGTACAGAAAAGTTAGAGTTAGCATGTTTTATTTTATTAGTTATGCATAATAGGTTAATGTGCACCCAATAGATGAATTTAATGTATTTCTAATTTAACATTTTGTGGCATGAATTTAAAGCTGATACTGGTACGGATGTTGAAAAATGAAATGTTGAAGTATGAGAGCAAATTAGCTTTTGCATTATGACTAAAACGGAAGCCAATCTGCAATGAACGCTGAGAAATAATATAATTTAACGTGTAGTCCATATGACCTTTGTGCGAACTTAATTTGAAGTCAAATGTAGTGTGTCGTTTTACCTTTTATCTCTGAAAATTTAATTCGTCGTTGATTGACATTTAAAAAAAAACCTTCTCTCTTTTGACAGTTTTATTGTTTATTAAATATAATCTTTAATACAAATAAAAAGTGTTAAATTTACTTAATATAAAACTATAATAATATATATTAATATAAAATTTATATAGTATAAAAATTCATTTTTATCGGAAATATTATTAATTTACACTTGTTGACTAGACAGTTTTAAATGTTGACTGGTTCATATAAGGTGATTGTTATATATGCCGTTGAATTTCCATAGCATAAATATTATATTTGATAAAAATCTTCAGACAAAAATTTCCATATTGAAAACATTACACCGTCTGACAATGTGACTGATATTATGGTTAAAAATAATATTTGTTCAAAGTATATGATTGTATTGTTTAAAACAAAATAAAAACGAAATGCAAACATACAATTATGATTTTGTAATCTTTGCAAATGAAATTATTTTAAAAATTCTATTTATTTTTTTCAATATAATTTTTCATTAATTATTTCAAAGCAATTTTAAGTGCAAAAATATCACATCTGATTCTATCTAGACATGTATATTTTGTTAAATTCCTTAACGTATGTTTTTTTAGTATAGGGCACCAAACGTATGTTTTTCACATAGGCGCGTATCTGCTATACTAAGGTTGTTTATAACATTGCAACTCTCAGCTTTAAAGAGTTCTACTTTTGTTCACTGACAGCATAAGATTTGAGAAAAAAAATCTTACATTGATTAACTGGGTCACTTAAACGCAAAATTGAATATAAAAAACGAATAATAAAAAATACATGCTCAGAATTAAATTGAAAATTGATATGCAATACGAGTCTTAGCACATTTCAAATTTACGGCGTTTTTTACTTTATCCTCCTGAGGATTTTCTGCATATTACAAATGGTTATTCTAAGAAATAATCAGAGTCAGCGGTTGATGGGAAATTTTGTACACAATTTATTGGTATAGAGGTAAAGGGAATGGTATTAAAATCTCTCAACATATTTCCAATCCCGTCATATCAAAAACATTGACCTTTTTTCTAAATGATGTAATCCTAAGAAACTTTCTTACTGGTGGAGACCGCGATAAAGCAAACTTAACACAATAGCTCAACTATTCTCTTAAAGCTGTCAAATATACAATTCAGCATAATTATTTAAAAGAGACAAATACTCACTGTAAAGGAACGCGTGTTAGTTAACTAAAAAATAAATTCACATATGTAGACACACAATTCATGCATTATATTTCATTGGACTTTTAATAAACAATCAACAATCAAGGCGATACTCTGTAAAACTGTAGTAAAGGAAACTTCCGAAAATATTTATTTCAATAAAATATCCGCGATGATATATGAACATGGTCTCAAAGGTTCTATAAATAAAAACACACATTTTTCTTATGAAAATATGTTTCCTCCAATGGGAATTGCTAACAAATAGAGGAAGCTTTACGTTAGCAAAGCGAGAACAATAATTATTATTTACAATATTGTACACGCAATATATCATTGTTCGAGTGTCGTTATTATCTGAAAAACACCGAAACTGTAAAGTGATCTAATGAAGTATTTTCAAGTCAAAAATTAACATTCTTAGCTTGCCAATCCTGTAGACGTATCAACTAGACGTCTAAAAATTTACTATCAAAACTTTGCATTAAAATTTAAACGAATGTGTTACCCTTTTAAAAAATATACGTTGGATATAATTAATTATATCAAATATAAAATAACATATAGTCCGATAGGATGTTATATATTTAATATGATTATATATTCATTTCTCGTTAATTTGTACAATACTAAATACAAATATCAACTTCAGACCAACTTTTTAATGAACATAATGATTCTTTTTGCAATTAAATACGCCTGAAATAGCGAATGTTGTATTTTCTAGTCCCTGTTAGAAAAGCATATAGAACGAACACTGTACAACCTAATTAACAAAAATCAAGACATTTTAATCATCCACTTCATTTAACTACTGTTTAATTATACTGCTGGTACTAAAAATGTGACCATTTCTTGCACGAAAATATTTCCCCAACAATTGAATACACTGAAATTACTGTTGTAAACATTATAACAATCACAAGTAGTGCATTTGGTAAGGAATATTCATATCATTTACTAAAGCATGATGTCAGATGTATCCATATCTAATACCGACATTGTGCCGTCAAGAAGCATAGTATTGGTCATTTCCATGTTAACATTTCGCGCTAAGTTTGTAGAGACATATATTTTTTTCTGGCTGACCTTAAATCGGTTCTAAAATTACTATTCATTTGTATTTTTGGGAATTACTACATAACTGTATGTTTATAATTTCATAATACATTTTCTTATCTTTTTTGTTTTTATTTCAGCAGGGAGAAAGTAAAAGTTGTTTCTTTGAAAAGACTGTTTTATAGTTTAGGACTAAATGTAAGCCATTCGCAAATTCTACCGAAAATAATTATTGCCATGCTTAACATCTGACTTAACTATGAGGCTCTTAATTAAGCATGAATGCAATATGGATTTGATGCTGGCGAACATTGGTTATAATTGTTCCAAACTGAGTAGAATGCACAATAGTTCATATGTGCTATGCTGTATCATGGTATTTTTCTCTCAAAGTGCATTTTTCTCTCGTATATCTAAATAATCCGTTATTTTTTCATTTGATAAAAAAACTTACTTAACAGTTTAAAACAAATTACATTTATACGAATGGTTGAATTTCTTCCATATATTCAACCCAGTGATAATTTACTTTCAGATAATCTTTGTCCAACATGATTAAACTATATATATTTTTCAACATCCCCCAAAAAATACAAACAAAGAAACTCAAGTTTTAAACATGGTTAAGAGGTCAAAAAATCTTATCGATTAGAGCATGCGATTTTGTTTAAATCAGCAATTGAATCTATGATGTGTTATATGTTTTAAATACTGAAACGCAAAGCTATTGTAACAGAAAAATCATAATTATCATTCTTATGGTATTTCATAGTAATAATTTCGTTTTGTTAAAAAGTAATCTTTTAATTCCCATGTCCTATATATGTCCAATGTTGTTGGACAGCAGGTTATGACAAATATCATGCAATGATATCAAGGTTTTTACCTTTGACAGAAAAATAATCCACAAACTTCTGAAGAGAACGTTCTTCATTATAAATATCCAGCCTTCATTAGAAATCGTGTTCCACAGATATCTAAAATATATAAAAATAACTTTTAAAATATATTTTGTAATTTCAGCAAATGTTTTCCGATTATATCGACAGAAATGCAATATCAATTTTAAATACTTAGACTTTGCAAACAGTGATTCAGTAAGACATTTTGTGCACTGACAACAGGTACAAGGGCGAAACAATAACCTCCTTTGGCTGTACCACTGGGAAAACAAGTGAGAAATTGAATCAATCAATTTAAATTTTCATAGGATTGTAGTAATAGAAACCGGTATGATTCTAGAATCATAGTATTTTGTAAAGTTTAGAATATGGCATGAAAGAGTAGAGCATTTGAGTGTTATAAATTTATCTAGAACTGTTTCTAATTTACAGTGTAATATCATGTAGCAATCACACGAAATCGATAGAAGACTAATTCGCATTTTTAGTCCAATAAGGTCTGCAAAAACACGAGTACTCAAGCCTGCAAGGCGTAGGATTTAATAGGATCTAAGGATTCTGCAGATATGATATTTATTCACGAAAAAGGTGCATTAGCGTTTTTATTGCATACAAGTATAAAGAATAAGTTTTAAATCGGTTATTTCGCGTATCGTTATCTGTATGTCGTATAACGAAAGCATTGCTTGTGACATGCTTTCCGGGTTTGTAATTTGATAAAAAAAACTACCAATTGCAAGGCCGTCATTGCATTAAGCTGCTTGTGCCATGAAACACGCATATTATAGGACATGACAAGAACAAGACTTGACCACGAGATTTTATACGTAATGCATGTTTTCTACCCCGTAAATGTTCTTCTGCGCTTTTTATACGATCCTGTTTATTATTGAATAAGTGCTAGAAATTTAGGCAGAACATGGCTTCAACTTAAATAACAACAATTATTTTGATTGATTACTTTGCGAAAACATTTTGTGAAAAAATACTATTTAACATCGCATTTTGGTCGTCAAGAAAACAGGCTCTATTCGCTGGTATAAAGTGTATGTAAAGAAATAGGAAAGTGCTGATAAGATGAATGTTTTGTTATCTCTAGATACCGAATGTCAATGATCTAACAAATTCAAATTTTATCTATTGACGTTATATGCATACCTACTTCCTACACGTGATGATCAACAGTAATCGTTATTTACCACATTTTGACTAAATGCATAAGAATGCAAGGTTTATTGGCGAGGAAATAATCAAACATGCACATTTTGCATAACATATCCTGCACTGTCGAGCTTGCGTAGAGACTACTAAAAGGTACACGTAAGTTTTAAACATCAAAAGGAAATAATTAGAAATAATTAATCTATGTCTGATAAACACGATTGAAAGGGAATATAAGCTTTGAGACAGACATTAATTAATTATTTATGAGAATCTATGCTATTAATCTTAACTTCACCATGCTATCAATTAGAGTTCTTGGTATTATACAATACTATCTGTCACTGTTACATCTTCAAACAAAAGTATTTGAAATAAAGGTCAAGGACTAGAATAATCAACACAGTATTTTTTTTGAATATTTGGGAAAATGCAAAGATGCACCTCTAAGTTTTAAGTTTATCTTTTGCCGAATACAAAGAGTAATGCTTTCTTCTGTGTTTGTAAGTTTTGTTTGGTTTGTTGTTGTTGTTTGTTTCTGTTTAGTTTTTGTTTTATTTATTTATATTAATTAATTAATTAATTAATTAATTACAATGCGAGGATATGTTTATCATTTGATAATAAATCAATAATAATATGTTAAGGATAATTCTAGCAAAAGCAATTATAAATTTGTAGACTAAAGTTTCCTATTATATGTTTTATTATTTGTTGGTTTGTGCTGCTAATCTTCAAATTTAAATGATTTCAATGAATATTTTGAATGCACTCAGACAATTGAACAAAAAGCACTGGCGTCAGTTGTAAAATTTCTTAATACTCTTGACAATAGACGTATTGTTGCTTGGGCGGCCATGAAATGAAATGTTGAAAATACTTGCAAAGATAACCATAGACTGAGATGAATTGTTTGTAAACAGTTATCATAATTAATTGGCAACACTTGTTTTTTTCAAATCTGCCAAAATACAATATATATCAAAACGCAAAACTTTTATATTCAATAAGACATAACAAATTATGTTTAGACGAACCGAAAGATTACATTGACATATATAAATTGCATTCTAGCAAAAGCATCCGTTTGTTAAGCAGAAAAAGATGATATGTCAAATTCTTATTCCTGTGCGTATCTAGTATGCACTGATTATTTTACGTTATATTAACAATAGAATCTGCAGCCACACGTTCAAAAATATAACTTATTAAAATTAGATTAAAATGAATTTCATAACAAAACATCATACCCTTCAAATGTTGTAATAATTAGTGTAAAACATAATAAAACATATAATATATTATAAATTTAAATTGGCGTCAATTGACTGTTGATATATAGTGAAGAGTTTGTACGTATATAAACTAGAATGAGGTAGATATTTGTGACATTAATAAGATCTATTGTACTTATACCTCAATTTGTCTGACATGTACATTGTATATTGTAGTTAATGTTTTATATGTCTTGACTAATTAAGATTTATTGAATATTACTTTGGCACTAATAAGGTTTAATTATTTCTAGATGTTGAACAAAAGACAAAAATCAAAATGTCTTTAAAGTTTTATAATTTTAATTTTATCATTCATATTTGTAATATTTATATAAATCATAATTAATCCAGTAATTGTTATGATCTTATAAATAATTATAATTGTTATACCATTTGCTTCTTGTTAACTGTTCATCTCTTAATCTGATACAAAATAAAATATTACCAAACATTATATACAATGCAGTGACGTCACTGTATTGAATAATATATGCATGCAATGCACAAAACAATGTTTTTAACAGACATATCGCATGAAAAATAAGTAAATGAGTTAATAATAGAAATTTGGATATTGTTTATTTACATGATTAATTCTTTTCCGTTGGTTATTGATCTGAATCTGAATCATTACACCTACTTTGTCTGCCGTTCTTTCGCTCAGTGGATTTTTATTTACTAATACTGTATATAACAAGTTTTCATCGTTTCCATTAACTGGCATTCTCATTTTACAAAGCGTAGTGTGTGAATATTTTGAAAAAGTGTTTAATACCCATCTTAATACTTTATTGGTATTAACTTGAATTTTTCAAATAAGTGTATGTTTTTTTTTTCGTGACTTGGTTCAACCTCATTACTTGCTCATTTCTTTGTATTTATCATAAATGTTTTTCTCTGACTATATAACTGTTTATAAAAATTTTCTGATGTTGACCAATAACATGGTGATATTGATATTTATTTGTTAAATTACAAGAAACATAAGGTTATTGAATTTAATATTTAAATCTTGATTTCACATAATTATAAAGGACTTGTTGTACATATAATTAAAATATAATGTATATAGGTCAATGTAAAGCAAATCTATTCAATAAAATTTTAATGTTTAACGACTATTAAGGATGGTTTAGGTAATCATTTATTCATTACATTGTTTAAGTTGCTTTTAACGATCGACAATAATGGTATCATTCGCAAGCAAATATTTAAGCTTTTATGCCAAGACGTTCAAGTGTTTCCTTGATGCTCTTAAATCTTATTTCAGACATCAATAACCTATTTCTACTCAACCTCAAAATGACAGTAGTAAGCTAGAACGTACTTTTTTAGAATTCATTTCAAATAAAATATAAACAAATTTTAAGATATTTTGAGTCTCTAACAATATGTTAATCTACATTTTTCGTAACGTTTAATCAATATGATTTCTGGGTCAATGTCTATAGCTCATTGACAAGAATATTCATACATGTTTAGAAAAAAAGCGGAGTGATGTTAGAAATGAAAAACACAAGTAATATTAAGTGTTTTAATTTCTAATTTTTGTTTATTTTCTTGGAAAAAATAGAGCGAATACGACTCTCTACATAGCTTAACTTAACTCAATGGACATAATTTGATTGCGCTCAAGATTGTTACCATTAAAGCAGCACGCCTCCAGATTCATGCTAGTTTTCATTAAAATTTGAAGATGTATTGAACAGTATAACATTGTGCAGTTACAAAAAGAATGCAATTTACACATTATCAACGGCACTTACAACCCACGTTAATTATCATAAGAGGTCAAAATATGATTAAATAGCCCTTACTGCATTAGTAACGCAGTAGGAATATAGTTATAAACACTGAAAAATTGGTCATTAATCGCACATAACATGTAAATTATTACTAGAATTTTGAATCTTTATACTTTTCCAAAAATCTTAGTACATTTTTTCAGGTTTGATTTTATCAAAATATTTTTGCTCATATTATTTTCGACTCATTAAATGGATAGACAAGTTTGTTTTACCTTGAATTACATATGAAAATTATATTGTTGAAATACCTACTGAGGAAACGTAAAGAATAAACATATAAATTTAAGCACATTAAATGTTTTTACAAAGTATGGGACCAAGTGTTAATGCTGTATACCAAATATCAAGAGGCTGTGATAATTAGTTGCTGCGAAAACTGTTACGAAAATGTCCTACAATTGACCAATAATGTCAAAATTTAACTAAGTCAGTTCAAAATATAACTAAGTGAGGTAACAGAAAGTGGATGAGCGACAGATATAAAATCCAATCCTACGGCATGGGACCACGTGTTAGTTCTGTATACAAATATCTAGTTTCTGAGAAAATTGTTATGAAATTTCCTACCATTGACAATTTATGTCGAACATTTAACTAAGTCGATTTACAGGAAGTGAATGACTGACAGACCTGATATCAAATAATAACGGTATGGGACCACGTATTTATGTTTTATACAAAATATAAAGAGGATGTAATAAGTTGTTGCTGAGAAAACTGTTACAAAAATCTTTCCTCAATAAATTCTATCTTAGCCGTGAATACCTTGCGCACAATAGAGTGTCTTCAATAGAGTGTCTTTATATATAAGGCAATATTACATAAGTTA